TTTTCAGAGAACACTATTACACTTCGCATCAGTAAATGGACACTTAGAAACAACAAAGTATTTGGTAGAAAGAGGAGCTAAAATTGATGCGAGACATTACCACTGGGAGGTACAGATTTCTTGCAAAATTCCATTTTCAAAGTTTTTGAATCAATCGTTCAAACGTATACTTTACGATACCTTAATAATTAAGTGAAAACAGATACAAATTTTAATTGCTGATTTTTTAGCTTGAAATGATTTTTATCAAGACTTTTTTATCAGCCATAACAGAAGATAATAGAAATATCTTCCTAAGACAACTGAATTAATTATTCCATAATATTTCAAGTGATTGAGTGAATAAGTGATACTGCTGGTTAAGTGACAGACATTTTACAAAAAAAAAAAAAGAAGCTAAAGAGAGCAAACAAGTTTTTTAGTACTTGCACAACGTAAAATAATTCCTTATTTCGTTTACGTTAGTTCTGGACTGAAAACCTACAATGCGACAGCTGTTATAGTGAGAATAGATAAACAGAAAAGCCTCGCAACAGATACGTTTTTACTTCCGGTAATGTGTTCTGTAAAACGCAAAGTCACACGTATAAGTCAAAAAAAAGAATTAGATGAAGACAAATAAAGTGTTTACTCTTAGTGAACAATAAGTCGTTACTGTTTTTCAGAGATGCCAGTTGCATTTCGCAGCTGAAAGAGAACATATTGATGTCGTAAAGTTCTTTGCAGAAAAAATGATCGATATAAACGCCAAGAATAAATATCATGTATTTCTTTCTTAAAAAGATCAGAAAATCTTTTTCAGAAAAAAAAAAGAATTTTTTGCGTTCAATATTTCTTATAATGTTAAACATCACCCCACGGCTGACTGAAAATTTCCTAGTTTTGCTTCGCTCCCGTGACTTCACTGTACTTACTAGCTACGTTAACCACGAGGAACGAGTGGAGCTTGTTATTAAACGTATTACATTGCAAGACATAAAAAGACGCTAAATCTTTAGAAGACAGAAACTGGAAGTAATCTTTTTATCACATTTCCGTATTAAGCATTAAAGCCTGATAATTTTTCAAAATCCATGATACTGTTATTGCTAGTTTTCCAAACGATTCACAATTAGTGTTTTCTGACTGGATAGAGACTGCTACCAAGCACCATTCTTTGGCGGCGTTGACAAACGATTGCTACACCGAAACTCCATATATCAACCTAAAAGTTACTCATTGTCTTATTTACAGCATTCAGAAACAACTGGAAAAATAAATTATGAATTTTAAAGTGTCGAAATCAAAACAATGAAATGCGTAGAAAAATTTGTGCACGGAGAACCTACCTTTTTCAAACCTTGGTCATATTGTATTAATTCAGGCGCCATATATGCGACCGTTCCGCAACAAATCATGAATCCGCTTCTCGACGTCTCCGTAGGCGTGATATGCCAAATTCACAGATTTTTAGTACATTCTGACCATCGAAAAGAAGGCTGAAATATTGCGATAATGAATGAGAAGTAAAGATAATTTTTTGATTTTTTGTTATTGACTAATAACGCAACGGAGCAGTAAGAAGAAATGTACAGCTAAACTGAAAAATTAAACTGCATCTTTTTCAAACTGTGGCTATTCATTAGAAGGTACTTTGTTGATAAACAGTACGCTGTAATTGGCTGCACTTTTTGGTATGATGGAGCATTGCTGTATTATAGGCAGCACAGCAAAGCAATAGATTACCGTACACTTGAAAAAAGTATTTCTAATTTTAAGTCTGACAGAAGTGAAGACGTATATTTAGACAGAAAATTACAGAAGTGAATAATTTGTCGTCGGAAAAAGCTCCTGTGAAAAGAATTAATTGGTAATTGCTCGATAGTATTATCAGAGAAGAAGTTGTATTAGAAGAAAGAAAGAATCGCATTTAGGAGAGCAGCAAATGGTTAAACGACAGAAATTTACTTAATAGGTGATAAGTATTTGATAGCACTATTGGAAGAATAAATAAACTAATTTCAAATGTTATGAGCTCTGAAAGAATGAAAAAAACTATTTAAAAAAAATATATAACTCCGAAAGTAATTAAAAGAGAAAAATAAGGTGGAAAGAGGGTATACAGGTTACGATACTTCTTTCAGGGCGCGCAACATGCAAATCCTGTTTTATACCCGCATTTCAGCCAGCAAATGATTTGAGTTTATTCAGAATATATTACATCTACAAAAAACACTTTTCTACACTCATTTATCTGTCTTTTTTTTAATCTTTGTTTGTTTTCGGTCATCCAAAGTCTGATCTCATGTACAACAAAAGATTTTTCAAGGGAATTTGTCGTAAAACTTGACAAAATAATTGTTGAAACATGAGACATACTCCTCTTTTGCAAACTTGTAATAAAGGCTTTATAAGCAGAGTTCTTGGCGTTTGAATGCTATATCATCGCCCTCTAAACCTCGCTCAACGCAACCACTAAAGTTGCCATAATTCAAAAAACAGTTAATTATTGCAAATTGTTTTCTAGCATATTAGCTTCAATAACTTTGCCTTCCTTTCACTCCATTTCTGTAAACCTTTGCATTTTTCAAAAAATGTCAAATCAGAGTTTAATTGCTGCTTTTGACTTGCTTCGTATTTTGATCGATCAGCAGCTAAAACAAGAAGGGAACTGCAGCGAAGGCAATGAGACAGGAAAAATTTCTTACTTAGGAACTATGTAAGACAATACTGCAACAAAACAGATTTGCCCTACTACACGAATAACAGAGCAAATCTCAGCTTCACGTCAAAAATTAGAATGGCGAAGCAGAACCAGTATGAACTTACTAAATACAGCTAGCCAGATATGTAAAATAAGAGCAGCCACTTGTTGTAACACTTTACTTCAGAAACCAAGTGAAAGTGAAGACTTGGGAATTTTTTTTCGGATTAGCTTTAATTCATGCCAAAGAATTGTGCCTAATTTTGCTGATACGTGTATGATCTAATACTTCCTGACTCCTGTTAACTTTAACTTCTCTTGGTCTTTGTAAAGTTATAAATTTGACTTGAGCTCAAACGCGCTAGTAAGACCTGTAAAATTTCAAAACATTTAAACCGCAAAGCTGTTCAAGTCTGATCAATAAATATTACTGTGGGTACAAACGCGACCAAACCGCCTAGTTCCTAGGCTTCGAGAATGTTCCAACTACATTTTTTGTTCTACCACAAAACCATAAAGTAAATGAAAGGAGGGGAATAAGACAAAAAGTTTGTCTACGTTATTGTAAACTGGAAAGGCTAAATGCTCAGTTCACATTATGTTTGACCATTGAAAGGCTAAAATGGGGGCGGGGAAAACCAACAGCAAAGAGTACCAGGCAGTTGTTATTTGGATGCTATGCATCTTCCTGATCTAGCCATATTTCAGAAAGAATAATCATAAAATAAAAAAGTTTGCTTTTTTTTTTATTTGCACATCTATTCCTATATTGTTCCACCTTCAAATTTCTAACCAGTTACACAATTTTTTATAGTTTTAGTTCCTTGTTTATTTTCATCGAACCTACGTAGCTTTTCTTCTTTTAGTTCGCTTATCCGGTACTGCTATTGATGGTAATTGCTCACGGTGCTTTTGCCAATAATAGATTGTGCCTTACCTTTCCTTTTGGATTTTTTTGAAATCTTTTGCTAAATAAGTTTCTGGAGAATTTATTATCCTTGGGAACCAAGTAAAAAAAACTATTTTGGGTTTGAAATTTTAATAGAGTGCCTTTCACGTCGTCGACAAACCGAGAAAGTTCTTCCCTTTCATACCTATCGCTATTTACTTCACTACTTTTACTTAACTCGGAGAAAAAAAAAGTAAAAACATGACGTTAGAAGTCCGGAAACACCAAAATTTCTTTAGCACCTCCTGCCGACGGCCAAACATTTATCGATCGATCAGCGACCATTATTGCTGTTAGGTTTCGACAAATACGCAAAGCATTGGTCCTAAAGCGAGTGTCTGAATGCTGTACTCTAGTTCGCAAGTATGCTGGTTTTTGGTGTGAAGCTGGAGGACAGCTTCGACGGGCTGATCCTTTTACATTACCGATGAAATTGGTGCATCTATTAATTTCGCAGTAATTTTTTGCCATTGTCGTGAGATCCTATAGTGTTACTGAAGTCTGTGTCTCGTTTTATCTTTACAATATCCAGAGACCAAGGAATTCACATTTTTTTGAAGGATAACTTTGGAAATACTGGCTTTTTAGGTCATTAGTTGCTTGTACTGCTTCTTATCAATTAAAGTTCTCTAATTTTTAACCAGAAAAGGGTTCTTTTCCCAGAAGCAAATGCTGCTTACACTAGTATCTGCAAATTTGGGCTCTAGTTTTTCCTTCATACTTGAAGCACCCTAAAAGCCTAGTCCCCTTTAACCTCTGGGTTTGGGTGGTTTGGAAGGTATCACTTTTAGAAGCTTTTACAGGTGATGAATATATGCACATCAGAACTGTTAAAATTTAGGGAAAGAAATTTTTTTGTCATTTTATGAAAAACATTCAGTTCCAAAAAAGTATTTGAAGAAAAAATTTAGATAAAAAAGAATTGAAGGCGCGATTGATTTGTGAAAGGACTACCAGAACTCCTTGCTTTTTGCCTTGTTAATTTCTCGTGTATGAGTGTGTGGTGTGTATTTGTCCTCTGTAGGAGTCGTTGATAGATTGGGGAATTCTGAATTTATTGTTCTGGTTATGGCGGAATATCCGCATTATCACAAATGTTATTTTTTACCAATGGGAATTTCCTGTCTCTATTTCAATGAGACAAGACTACTGTTGTACTTGTTGCTCTTCCCTGACTGAGATTATTAAGAATTGCTCTAGCACATAATATTCCAACTTTTATTAAATATTTAACCCGCTACTCGCGAACAGTACTGTTTATCTTGCTTCTTACTCATTTTAATATATTTATTAATGTTGGAAAGTGTATATTTTTTTTCAGGATTCGAGCGTTCTCCGATTTGTTGGTGTGTAACGTTCTTCACAAAAATGGCTAACTCTATACTAGGTTGAACTGCATATTGACAATCCTGTTTTATGCGTTTTCATAGTTTTGTTTTTTTTTTCAACCACTTTTTTCCAGCTATCAAGTGGGAACGCTTTTTCGTCGACGTCGAAATTCCGGAAAAAATAGCCGCCGAGTACGCAAAGAAGTTTGCCGAACAAAGAGTGCAGTTTGAAATGCGTGGAGAACTCACTAGAAATCTTCTTGTAGAATTGGGAATCAAAGCACTAGGCGACCAGGTAAAAAAGCTGTTTCAATTCTTTTTTTTTTATCATGCTTAATAAATTTTATGTCGAACAAGAAGTTTTGGCATCTTAGCAAGGATTCAGCGCATTTTTTATGAAGCAACTTTTTTTTCATTTTTTCGTGATGTTTATTGTGACTTATACGCACTGGATAATTTTTACTTTTTTTTCTTAATTCTGGCACTCAAGTGAGTTTCTAGATGGCTATACTTCATTATTTGAAAAGAGAAAAGGAGAAAACTTCGGATGGAATGGACACAAATGAGTCGTACCCTCTTTCTTCAAACACAGTTTTAAAGCAGGAACCCGCTTCTAACGGTAGTGCTTGATTTTACGGTCTCTTTATAGTTAAATGCTGCAGATTCTTTTCATCTCTGATGTTCCAAAAATGATTTTGCCATTATTAAATACACTTTTAATCATGCACTAAAAAGTGATTTGCTTTATGTATATATGCTTGAAAAGATTTCCATTTGTAGTTTTGAAAAGAGGTCTAAAACCTCCCGATCGTGATGACATATACCACATACGTATGCCGTCTGGAAGCACGCCGAAAACGAGAGAAATTTTGAGGAAACAGAACCTGTTACGATCAGCAGGTAGTTTATTTACTGTTTACGAGAATTCACTAGCAGTTGTTTTTGTCTTCTGCAGTTCTTCAACCAAAATTTCGTTATTTAAATGATACATCTTGGTAGTTATGTTAGTTGCTATATTTTACTTTCAAATTTGAGGACTTATGAAGCGTGGAATAAATGGTATTCGGAAGTCAGGAGAAGAGGTGAAACCTCACTCAAAAATTTTGGTCTCAAGGTTTACGAGTGGTTCGACATCCTCTGCAGGTTTGACGCTTTTAAAAACCAAAACCTGGTCTTCTCTTTAAGCAAGATCCTTCTGTTATCTTTATCGCCATTTTTGTTAGAGGTGTCATCCACCACGCAGGAAGTATATGAACGGCTAGGCGTTCGCGGTCTCGTTTCGGACTCGATGCCAGAGCCAAAGTTGTTTACTAATGTTGCGTCCTCTGCTGGCAGCGTCTGGTATAAACAGTATGGCCAATGATTATACTACGATTTTTTATTATCCAATAATTTTGTGAAAATTTGTTAATAATAGTATGTCATCTATTATTAGGACAAATGTTTGAAACTCCTGCACTGGGTCTGTAGTGAAGTTGGTGCATCGTTTAGGAAGAAAAAGGTGTCTGACCCAGCCGCCCTTTTCAAACGCTCACTAAGTGAAACTGGCGCATTTGAAAGTAAGGAACCGGTGTTTCGTGTCCGAATACCTGTTGAGAATAGAAGGCAGGATTTTTATTTACGTGGACAAGAGAAAAGTTCCTTTTCAAAAAGTCTTGGCCGAGTTAGAAGTCGTGCTCTTTCAAAAAGGGTGAGTCATTCTAATTTTCATGACTATGTTGCGTTGTTCCTCTTTTATTTCGTTTAGTTTGTCAGAGATTTTCAGAGCGCTAATTGGTATTAATCTAAAAGATTATTTTTGGGCTTTTTAGGTTTCTGTGGTGTCCGCAGGGAAGGTACAGAAGCGTCTGCCTATCCATTCCCGCCTGACAATGGTTCCAAAACGCAATGTTTCAAAAAAGCGCCAGATGTTGAATTCAGTTTCTGTTTTTGATAGATTAAGCTGAACTGTTTCCCCTTGATGTGATCACGAGTTTTGATAAATGTACCTTTGTCTCAAAGTGTAGCCACAGAAACTACATAATTAGTTTGTTTTGTTGCTGGGCTTGGTCCACTTGGACATTATTTTATCCCAGCTACTTTGTAGGAATGAGCCTGCGCTAATTAGCTTTAATTGTGCTGTACTGTTATTCCACGCAGTGACCTTTTTGAAAGCCATTGAGAGTATTTTAGAAGTGAAACAGTTGTAAATGATATCGATTTGCATCAGCTGAAGTAAAGCATCTTTTAGTTTCTGTGATAATTTGTTTTCAGGTAAAATTCTGTGTTTTGATTATATCAAGAATTATCTGGTACACTATTTGGGAAGTTTTGTAGTAAAGCATTATGGACAGTGTTGGTACCTCATTCCCTGCTGCATGGAAAGTATGCAATCTGCATAAAATTTATTTTCTGGCAAAGCAGAGTGTTGCTTGTTAGGGGTTTAGGAGACCGTGTAGAGAAGTTTTTAGACGGTTTTCTATTGGTGATGGAACGGCTTCAGCCGCTAGAGGCACTGGAGGAAGACTATTATCTTGACGAAGGGAATTTGTGGTATAATGACAATGAGAACCATGAAAGTGAGAGGTAAGGTGCTTTAGCAGTCGCTAGTTTTTGGGCGTTGGTGCAGAGACGGTTTATACCTACGTTTTCTGTAGCTCTGATGATGAGGATTTCCAACGGAAGGTTTCGCAATTGGCTGGTGTGCAACAGGACCCAAAAACCAAGAAATATGGTGGGTGCTAACTGCTGAATCACGCAAGAAACTTATGGTTACTGATCATTTTCATTCTTAATGCTGTGTCTTAATGCTTTTATGTCTGTCGCTTTAGGGATTTGTTCAAGAATTAAGGAGAAAAAGGACGAGTTTGAAAGTGATATGGATGACGACTTGGACCAGCAGTTAGTGGCTCATGCATCTCGGTTTATGACTTCGATATCTCAAGTTTCTTCTGCTGCTCAAGGTTTATATTTTTTTTGCTTTTTGCTTTTTTGCTTCTTTTTTGCTTTTTTGCTTTTTCTGCTTTTTTCTTCTTTTTTGCTTTTTATTGCTTCTCTTTGTGGCCTAATTGTTTAATATGGTGAAATTTCAGCTGAAGAGGTATCTTCTTCTACACAGAGTAATTCAGGAATAGAGGGCATGGACATTGAAACTGGTGACGTTTCTTCTTCATCAGGAAGTAAGAAAGATAATCCAGTTTTTGTCTTTTACTTTTCCTTGAGGTAGTTTTATTTGCTTAATAATGGTAAATGAGTATTATAAGCGAAATTATTTAGATATTTCTGGAATTAGTGTTCCGTGTCGTAATGCAGAAGGGTCTGAAAAATGCAGGGGTAAAAAAACAGTTCGGTTTTCTGTACAGGCGGAGAAGGGTAATTCAGTAAGTTGATTATGCGTCATCTTCTTCTCTAGAGTTAGTTTTTGCAACACCTGAATCTCACTTTGGTGTATACAGTAACGGATATTTTTGCCCTAATGCTTTATATTTACTTCAAAAGTTACTGTCATCAAACTTATTCACCGAAAGAGTGTAAGGTGCTTTAAACTGAGGTCAGTTCTGTGGTAGAGGGTGCTTGTAATACTAACATACATGTGGGTTTGCTTTGAAGCGTGAAATGTGCGGTACTCGTTGTGCTTTCACCCTGATTTCTTATTAAGTGTTCGTTACTTTCACTTTTTAGATAGTAAACTCAAGTAATCTGCCCAAACAGTCCTCTGTATTTTGTCTTTTTTGAGCAGAATCAGAATCTCGTATTAGAAGAGGATTGCATATCGTTAAGCAAACTCACGTTCTTGTTCTTGCTCATTTAACATAAACATGTTTGTAAAACTTTTTGTAATCTTGCATCTGCGTCTTGTAAACAGAAAAGGCTTAGGGAGTAAAGTTCATCTGTGCTTGCCAAAGTTTCTTCATTTCCAAGGAGAAATTAAGTGAAGAACACGTTCCGAAGGGGCTTGTTAAAATCCCGTCTTTTTTTGCTGCAGTTTATTTCAGTTTTTTTCTGGACTTCATGTAATTTTCTCTTGCTCAGTTGGAAAACCGATAAGTTCAATAGAATGCTCTTAATTGATTTGGAGTTGAGGAGAAACTACATTTTACTCAAAGTGCGCGGGATATTTCTCGTTATTTCTTCCACTACATCGAGTACTAACATTTCTTTTCGCCATTAAGTTTTTACTGTTCGGCTGTGTCTCTGGTAACTGAATTATTCTAGCCTTGATACACTCTGTTATTAGGTGAACGGTCAGCGCGGAGACTCTAAAGAATATGAGGCAACAGCTTTTGACAATGAAGATAACTTACTGCGTAAAGCGGCAGACAAAGTAAGGAGGGAGAAAGATGACGAAATGCCAGACTTTTATGATCCGGAAGAAGATGAAGATAACGAACACTGGGTATTATCGTTATATCGGCTGCCTTCGCCTGTTTTTTTTCCTTGATTTATTTTTTTGCGCTTTTATATATTGTTTAGGTTCAACAACACCGAGAACGATTGAAAATTATACCTCCTTCAGCTGGAGATGCAGACGGAGGCTGTAAAAGCGGTACTGAAGATTACTGCAGTTATCAGACTGATGCTGTTCTTTCATGTCCTGCTTGTATGTCTTTGCTTACTCGGGACTGTCAGCGCCACGAGTTTTATAAAAATCAATACAGGTTTTTTTAAATTTTTTGTTTCAATAATGGTCAGAGCAGTGGAAGGTTAAGAGTACACTGCTTATTATTAGGTGCTATAATGTCCATTTTTGTGCAAAACTGTAGCACTTTTGGATGATTTCTTATCTTTGGTTTTATCCGTCATGGTCTGTCAGTTTGTGCAGGTTGGCCGCTTAGAATTTTTTATATCTGTTTTCGAATCTAGGTGATTTTAGGGCGATCTTTGTGGAAAACTGTAAAGTAGTTACAGACAAACTGCTCTTCTTACCACAGCAAGACCAGAAGAAGAAAAGAAGGAGGAGTAAAAAGGACGATAAAGGTAGTTCTTATATCATTATTTGAAGGAAGGTATCGTGGTTTTAAGTGATTCTTTTGCTGTTGTAACTTATACTGTTTTCCTTTTATGCATTTCAAAGTTCAGAAATTCTTCGATTTGCTGTATGAAGAGAAAGGAATTTTGATCTGTTGCATTTGGGATTTCAGCTACAACTTTTAACTCAGAAAAATGTCTTGATTACAACTGTGATAACTTTGTGGATGCTTGAGGATGAATTAGAAGTTTGTTTGGTTGAGGGTCTTAAAGTGGAGCAGCGTTCAGAATGACCAGATTTTTGGTTGCCTTTAGCACGTTCTTTCAAAGACTGGTGCTCTTGAGTTCATTCTTTTTTGGATTTTCAGGCCCAAAACCAAGAGAATACGTAGTACCTTCTGATCTTACTGGTATTCCAAAAGAGGACTTATTTTACCCAGTTCAGTGCAGCGTGTGCTCTTTGAATGTTGGTGTTTTTGACCACGACGAAGTCTACCACTTTTTCGACGTTTTAACTGGTTACGCATAAGTCCTATTGTTTTTTGTTGGCAATTGTACTTTTTTTCTAGCCTTAGCTAGTAATTTTTGAAATCCGACTGTTTGTTTTTTTGTTTGTTGATAAATTTGGCTTTCGCATGTGATATTGTGCTGTTGTTAGGGCTTGGGTGGAAAAAGAGTCTGACTATAGGATGTTATCAAATACTGTTACTTTTGCCGTATAGCAAACAGTTGATCGGACTTTTAATAGATGCTCTGGTGTTGTACATATTCCCCACTCTGCTCTTTGGTCTCTGTTTGCTTCTCTAATTGTGCGGTCTATTGATATATTGTGCGCATAGAACGTTTGTATTTTTTTGATTTGAGGAATTAAATTTTCATTAGATTCGGGGAATTTGTAAAAATTGTAACAAAATTTGTCAGTTCAGAGACATTGTTATCAAGTTTATATAAACAAACTTTTTGATTAGTTTTGGTTTAAGCAGTGTATTTGATAGAGAAATATTGGCATTTCGACCCATATGCGTGGACGATGATTTGTGAGAAAAAGGCCATACTGATCAGCCAGAATTTTAAGTAATATGTTTTTGTTCGGGAAGTTTTCTGTAAAAATGTAGGTGGTAAACATGTTGCGGTTGGATAGGGGTTCTTAAGAGTAAGTGAAAATTTGTGATTTGGTTTTGTAATCTGACTCTGTTATTCGTCTAGAGACACTTTGGCCACCGCTAATTAGCGTTGTATATCCGGTTTGCACCACGCATACACTTTAAAAAGCAGTACACGGGAAGTTTGAGAACGCGGGTTTTCTTCTGTTCAAGTCAGTATATAAAGCACTTAGTTTTTTGCAACAAATAGCTGTGCGTAATCTTGAGCTTTCAGCCGGTTTGAGGAGTGTTAGCAGTACCTCCTGCTTTCAAATGAATTGAGTTGTGCGCTGTGCGTACGTAATTCAGCTCTTTATCTTTTCAGTTGACGCAGAGATTTTTCACAGTAAATGAATTTCATACATTATTGTAGAATTCTCGTGAACCATGCGAACGAAGTCGTCTGCTGCTCTCCAGAGAGGTTCAAGTAATACATGTTTAACGACCCAAGTCGAATTAGTGGACGCTTCACGTGACTATTTTAAGCATTTTTTTGGCTGCTATGGTCGTAAAATTTTCGTTTTAGTTCTATGAAGTAATGGAAAGTCAAATATTTATTTGGCGTGTACTGCAATGTACTTGTCTTATATGTATCGTATGAAGTGATTTCTTAGTCTTAACGAATGGCAGAAATATGTGTGCATTTCTGGTGCGGTATGCAAGAAGTTTTTATCAATGTAATTTTACTATCTGGGAGCCAGTACAGTAAAAAAAAATGAGCTGTGACTCCTGGAAAAGAATTTAGGGAATTTTTGCAAGTTTTAACGGAACTTGTTCGGTGATGAAAGTTACCCATATTGAACTTGAAATAAAGCAAATCAAAAATTTTTCTGCTTGATAAAAAGTGAAGTTGAATTTACCTCTTTGTTATCCATAGCGAGTTGCCTTGAAAACTTTAAAATTCTTTTTAATTTTATTTATTGTTCGTTGCACCTCTGTTAGAGGCATTCAGAAATATTGTTTTCGATTCATTGGTAGTTCACGTATCTGGTGATAAAGTTTGTTATACAGTTTCAGTCTCAAGGCATACACTTAGTGAGCAGCATAAAGCAAAGGAAGCCGGTGGCATCAAAAACGGCTTCTGCTCCTTATTTACCGAAAACGGTCACTTTAACGAAGAATTTTTTAGGTTTCTAGTTATTGTTTTTTTATATCGCTGGAAATTGTTAAAATTATTAGTCTTTCGTTGGCACAAAACATCTTTCCAAATTGGTGTCTATTCTTCAATACGACATTACCTGCCTAATCACTTTATACTTCGGTTAACATTTAAAAAAAGCAAATTAATGTTTGCCTGCATCGTCGTTTCCAATCACACTAACAACAATTCAAAATATGCACTTTCCATGTTTCTATGTTTTTACTAGACGCATTTTAATTAGAAACATTTTTTAATTAGAAATCTAATTTTTCAAAAGTTTCACTTTATATAAAACTTACATTTGTTCAGAATCAAATTATTTTGGAAAAAAATTTGGCTTTCGATTTAAAAAAAAAAAAGAGAAATACATAGTTTTTACTGACCGACATTGAATTGAATTGCTGTTGTCATTCTTTAAATTATTGTAACACAAATGAAAACAGTGAGTGATCCGATGTTTGATTTAATTATGCATTGGCTTACAGCAAATTCGTAGTTGCGGATAACTGAACAACTCTGAGTTCTTTAATTTTATCAATTTTTACTCTTTTATTCGAAAGAAAACTCGAAGCGCAGAGGATATTTTTAGCAGTTTAACATAATCAAAGCTGTGATTTTATTGTTTTACACAAAATTTATATTGCTATGCGACCATCTAAATTTTTAACTTTTCAAGGAAGTGTTGTTTAAAAAAGGCAGAAAAAAGTGCTTTTTTTTGTTGGATTCACTAACGAAACTTCATCCGGTAGCAAAAGTCACGCTCAACAAAATAGAGCGATGAATTTTTATCCTGTTATTGTCTCTTATAGACATATTTGACCTGTTGTAATACTGAAAGAACTGAGTTTTTCATGAAGTTGTGTTTTTGTCGATCCAACTTTACTTTAATGTCAATTGGTTAGAGGGTTCACAACAGTGTTCTACAGAAATCCTTAGGTTTACAACCAAACAGCAAAGAGGAAAAACGTTATAAGATCAGACAACAAATGAAGTTTTCGCCACTGAGAAGCTATCATTCAGTTGAACAATTTCTCCTAAAGTTGTCTTTTCAGAATTTAAAAAAGCAGTTTCTAGAAAATATCAAATTTCTGCATTGATTCATGCAATAAGTATTCTTACACCCATTGCTTGTAAAGTTACCTCTTAAACATGAAATAATCCTATGAGTATTAACCGTTTGGAAGTTCTATACTTTTTGCCAATTTTTGTTGCTCTGTAATACCATAAAGTTGGCAGCAGTTCGTACCAATCTGATTTCAAAACAAGTGAAAAAACTAGAAATTTACAAATATTTGTTGCACAATGAAAAAAATCCGCAACTAGTGAATTATTTCTGACAAATTATTAGTAGCAAAGTGGAAAATATGAATGAAGAAACAGATTTAAAATGGATAAACATTCTGCCTAAATTTTCCACTTAACGATAATTCATCAGGCCTCAGTTACCAAGGATTTTGTAATTTTGTTTTTGCGGTTGCTAACTTTTAGCATTAACACTGATCGTTTTCATTTTAAATAATTTCAGAAATTTTTGATAAAAAGAAAAAAAGAGGCAATTATTATTTTACTGACTTTTAATAAAGATTTAAATTTCAGTCACTTATATTTCTTTTTTTTGATTTTATTTTTTATTTTTATTTTTTTTTTTGATGCGTAATTGAGGAAGCAAAAAGTAAGACAGAAAAAAAAACTGGAAAAGCTGTATTAGAAAGAATTGTTGAAAATTTTTGGTTGTTATTCTCAAAACGGTGCTTATCTTTAGCCAGAAAAAAAATAGACTAAGAAGAAAATCATCACCATCATCATCATCATCATCATCATCATCATCATCACCATCTCATCATCATCATCATCATCATCATCATCATCATCATCATATTATCGTTTTGAACGCCTCCCTCTTATCTTTTCCAAAAATAAAAAAGAAAAAAAATTGAAGCATAACTAATTCTTCCGTCACCCGTTTCCCTTTTCCACTCCTCAGACGAACATTCGCCGCGGTATTGAATAATCTGTGAAATATTTTTTTGCTTCTGTCTTACCAATTCTACAGTTTCTTTGCAAGTTTTTTTAGATAATTATTGAAGATTCTTTTGTAGTTAAATACTCTTAACAAAAAAAAAAAAAAAAAAAA